CACACACACACACACACACACACACACACACACACACACACACACACTTTCCCTGTCATGATGTCACCAGCCTGCCAAGACCACAGGGGGGGAAAAAAAAAGGTTTAGGAAACAAATTAATTCACGTGTCGGGGATCCCGTCAGAGCTAGCACAAAGGCTCTGATGGCGATGTCAAAGTTCTTTGCGCAGCGTTTTCGGAAAACTTGATTTGAGACCTGCAAGAGCTAATGACTCCCCAAGCAGCTTTCAGCCTCACACACACAAAAAAAAAAGAGTTACAAGGTGACACTAAGCTTAAGGAAGTGCCTTTGAATATTTCCTCAAATGTTTTTCGGGGCTGATATCAACAGCGAAGCGGGTACACACTCCAGAGCCCCTTTCAGGCAATGGCAGGATTACGCTTTCGGAAAGTCTCGGAAACACGCATCCCCCCCTATGAGTGCAACACCCCTGCCATTCAAACACACATGGTGAAGCGGCATTTCGATGCAGGGCACTCGGCGAGGGTTCGTCAGAGCCCTAAAGCCGTCTAGCTCAAGTCACGAATGATGCGTCAAAGAGCCACAGTCTTTTCTTACACCGGTCATGGCCCGCCAAAAGGTAAGCAGAGCTGCAGAGGGTTTTAGCACTCGAAAAAGAGAGGCGTGAAATTAAGCGTACAATCTTAGATATGCGTCTTGATCCCTGCGATATTTTGACAAGAGCATGTTTTGAATTGTTCGAAAAAAAAAGTCTGTTTTAATAGGAACAATGAAGTTATATGTTCACAAAACACAATGATTAAAATTGCCCATAACATGGCCAAAATGGTTTCGATATTTTTTTTTCCTATGGAGAATTGGACTCAACTACATTTTTTTTTCTCCCCTCTCTCTCACCTCGAGTGCAGAAGGGGCCATCGTAGGCAGTGGCGCTGCAGTCGCACAAGTACCCGTTGTACTTCTCCACACACTTTCCCCCGTTGCGGCAATACATGCCGTAACTGGTGCAATGGCCTCGGCAACCGGGCTTGACCCCGGGCGTCACCTTGGCCCTCTCATCCAGGTCAAGGGTGACGCCGTTCATCCGTAGAGCTCGAATGCAGCCCAGGAAGCCCCTCTGGCCCCCCGCGGCACCTGCGCACCGAAGAGGAAGCGTTTAACAGCAACGCCAAAGAAGAAAACAAAAAACAAAACATGCAAGTCAGGGTCAGAAAAGGCAGTCGGAATGTAAAATGGCAACATTTTGTTTTGAATGGCTTTCAAAAACATTGCCATCTTCACGCCCGGAGGAACCTCTGCTGTGATGCGAACCTCCCCAACTGAGCTGCCGCTCTTGGAATAACCTTCAGCCGGTTCGATTTCTCACTAATTGGCCGAGCCTAATGAACACAATGTCGTAATGAAAAATCCCACTCGCCAACATGTGTCGATGGATACACGACCGGTATTAGCTGCATACTAAACGCGCAGCGAGCGCCTCCTACATGCCCACATCGGCGGTCGGCATCCGCAGCATTCTTAGCCTTGGGGCTTCCAAAGCCATTCATCCTGCGCCCTTTTGGCCTTGCGCTGTTACTGTCTGACTGCTCATCAACGTGGACAGAGATTGGCTTTAAGGTAGATTGATATGTGCCTTAATGACTATCGCAATAAACACAATCATAAAAGGACACCCGTAGGTATAGATTGAAAGTGCAATCGCATTAAACAGTCACAGTGCTGTGCAGTTAACAAAAGCCGAGGGGCATTTTAGATATTAAAATCTCTCAGATGTATCCCTTCAATTACAGCAAAGTGGCCATTTAAAGATGCACGCGGACGTGCACGCGCACACAGGTAAAGCCATGACCAACCGCGTTAAGATGACTTTCATTTTTTTTTTTTTTCCCATCATGCATTATTCATGTTGAGATGCAGCTGGGCTTTTCCATTCTTCCTCTTCCATTTTTGGATTCCGCAGCGGATTGAACAAAACACTTGTTAATTCATCTATTTTGTGCCACTGATTGGCTGGAGGTTTCCACCACCTGTTTACCTCATTTCAAACTCATCCTTGATTAAACGGACACGAGGCTCTGAGGCCGATGGAGAAGAAAGCGGGCACGCACGCTAAGTCCTTTTATTCTCACAGCTACCCGGGTGCTGTCAATGTTGGCTTGTTGATGGATGAGCAAACAACCAATATTTGTGTGATTTATTTTGCCATGATTAAAGAAACAAAATTATCTCAATATTATCTGCATCCATCCATTTTCGAATCCGCTTTTGTGTGGCCCTTATCTCCAGCGAACTCCTTGTTTTAACCATAATTGCCAATTGCGCTTATGCTACACTAATTTTACATTCATAAAATCATTCTTGTACCTCCTGCAGAGCTATCGAAAGACAATTCCGTGATAGGATGCGGGGAGGTTTGCCTCTTTTACCTCTGCTCTGTTTATTTGGGTTGGTCTTTAAGATGCCATTTGTTTGGGATTAGATTGAGTTTGGACCTTATCGGTTAAAAAAAACAAACAAAAAAAAAAACCACAGAGTCTGAAGCCTCCATATGCCAAGGCGATGTTATCACCGACACTCTCATATTGCAGCGCAGGATTTGATATCTGTTGGTTCGCAGCAATGCATTGCCTCGTTAGAAGAGGCTTAATGGGCTCGGGGTTGATGGATCCCTCCATGAAAAGCCGACGTGTGTGTTGAAACGAAGAGGCGTTTGGTAATTCCTCACGTCAACGTTGGGAAGTGCAGCATGACTCAAAACAAGTATCGATGCGAGAGCACATTCATCCTCGCGAATGTTAATAAAGCAACAGGCGATGAAGATGCGGCAGAAGTGCGGGCGAGATTTGACTTGGAGCGTCTCAGGTGCCATTATACTCGATGCCACGGACACATTTTATTGCACTCATTAAATGTTACCTACTGTCTTGGCAGGTGGGTGAGGCCGGTTTCCCTGTCACAGGGGTGTCGCGCACATGCAGTGAGAAGCAAAAAGCAAGAGGTTGATTTGATCCGATCGGGCGGAAGCCAGAAAAAAAAGGAGACAAGAAAAAACATCCAAACAGAAGAGAGAAAGTGAGCATGCAAAAACGATCAAAATAAAGCGATAAATGAACCATTCATTGAGGGCGAGGCATCAAGCGGGGTGGTTCAACGAACGAAATGTGAGATTCAGGATGACATGCATGTATCCGGTGAATCGGGGAGCTCAAAGTTAACCGTGTGTAGTGAATGGCAGAAGGTTGATGGTCTAAACATTCACTTTCAAGGCCATTCAAGCAAATGAACCACTGTGCAGTAAACACTAAAGCAATCCAACGCTTGATGGGGAGCATATTGACTGAGAGGAAAAGAGATGTAGATGGCACCGGAACACATAATAGGGCTGCAATTTGTTTTGGTGTGAAATGACACAGACACATCAGTGCACACTTGAGCCAACAATTGTTTCCGCCCTGTTATCAAATGTTGCAAACAAATCTGCATTCATTGTCTTCATTTCGCCATGCATTGCCTATTTTTTTTTCTCGACTGCTCTCATTCTTGGAACCTCACAAAATGCGACGCAAAAATGCACGCCAGTAATTCCCGACGTTTACTGAACGGAGCTTCACACTGAGCCGCAGATGTGACATTTGGAAAAAAAAAACAAAATAAAACTACTAATTGGTGCACGCTAATGACTATTTCATGCACAGCAATTACTACTTTGTGTGCACGAACTCTTCATGCGTGGGAAATAGTTGCAGCAAGTCGTACCTCTACCGGTCAAGCAAGCTGGCTCTCAACAGCCTCTTCAAATGTCTCTCGGCAAAAATGGTTCCTTGCGATGCCAAGATTCCCATGATGTCCTTTGTAAATCATCCCGACCCTAAAGTAAGCTTCCCATCACGCTGTCCCCCCGTCCGTGATGGAGCTTTTCTTTGACTATTTCACTTTGAACTTTCAAGTGACCCGCAAGGAGCCACAGCTACTCCGCGTGCACAAACAACCACTTTGTACGCACTTTTTTTGTGCACATGATTTCCTGCTTTGAATATTTCACACATTCTATATGGTGTGTTGACGCAGGGGAGGATTTTTTAGTGCTAATTTTTGCATATTAAGGCGAGCCCAGTCCAGGTCTTGCTCTCTTGCCTGATTGATGATCAGAAATAAGAACGCGCTGTCCCCTCTGCGGCGCTCCAAGTCGTCCCCTAATTCCCCTTTCATTATTTCTTGTGTCACTGGCAAGCGTTCGTACAGGCGCGGCCAACGTGGACGCTGAAAAATGAACCGGCGCGAATGAGGTGCCGTATGGGGGCCGTTGAAGTTCCAGCTCTGTAACACCGAATCAGATTGCAAAGAGCATTCCCGCCACGTCAAGTCCATTTTTTTTGGCATCACTGAGGCTCGCCACAAGGCAAATGGGGACAAGGAACGGGGGAGGAGGTTGTGAAAGGGGGCGAGGCAATCCAATGAGAGGTTGGGCGACTGATAGCCATTTGGAACAATCTGCTGATGACATGATTTGGCCCAATCATCTCTATGACTGCAGCTTGCAAGTTTTGGTTTGTCCACGACGGACGGTATATAATGACAAGGAAATGGGAAAGCACAGTGAGAGATCACATCATAGAAAAAGGAAGAGAGCAGATTAGGCCCATCATGAACACGGCACATCTCTTTAACCAAATGATACGTGAGTCCGTTCTCAAATGAGGGATGATCGGCTCAGGTCTCTTTATGCAGTGTTCCTTTTGGTTCCGTTGAAAATAAACGCGAGTCACCGTGTTAAAGCACATAAAAGGTGACCTCACACGGTTGCATTTTTTTTTTTTTTTTATGTACCCCCACAGAGCCCACACGTGGCATTATTGGATGTTGATTTACCTTCATTAAAAAGTCTTTATCACTTAGGAATTCCCGAGGAAGCGCGCGTCCGTGCGTGATGAAATATGAAACGCTAATGTGATTGGGAGTGCGGGATTAGCATTGAATTAAGATGAAACGAAGCCGCTGAGGAGAAAATTTCCATGGGAGTCTGGGCCCTCTTTAACTCGAACGAAAAAAAAAGGCATTCAACATTCAAATATTCCCAGTAGCCGATACTACACGGGAGGTCTTACAGGGATAGGACAAAAAGCATTTTCATTAACATCCATCCATTTTCTATCGCACTTGTCATCGCCAGAAAGCTTGAGCCTATCCAAGGTGGTTTGGGGCGGGAAGCGGGCTAACGGAGTGGACTGGTTGCCTGACAAATCGCAGGGCACGGATAGGCAATATCAACAACAGCAAAAAAATCACAGGCATTCACCCACGGGCCGGAGCCGACATTCAAATGAAGAAGCTCAGAACTGTGCAGCAGACGTGCACTAGGTCGCTGTGCTGCCATTTTCTTCAACAGTTTCTTCTCCATTTTCTATCGCACTTGTCATCGCCAGAAAGCTTGAGCCTATCCAAGGTGGTTTGGGGCGGGAAGCGGGCTAACGGAGTGGACTGGTTGCCTGACAAATCGCAGGGCACGGATAGGCAATATCAACAACAGCAAAAAAATCACAGGCATTCACCCACGGGCCGGAGCCGACATTCAAACGAAGAAGCTCAGAACTGTGCGGCAGACGTGCACTAGGTCGCTGCGCTGCCATTTTCTTCAACAGTTTCTTGCAATGACATGGCACCACATTTGCTTGAAGAACCCAGAGCTGTTTTCTTACTGTCCTTTCTTTGCAAAAACAGTAAGCGGACAGATTGCCCCTCGGTTGTCGGGACTCACCCACATAGAGCTGGCTGAAGAGTTCCAAACGCGTGTGCCCTTGCGCCGGCGCCGGCTGAGAGACACGATGAGTTCGGTCCAGCTGGAGAACGGCCTCCTTGATGTTCCGCTCGGCCGTCACGCGGTGCCACTGGTCGTCGTTGAGAGGCGCGTCAGAATGCACCGCTAACTCCACCGGGCCATTTCCCACATCGAAGGAAAACGAGACAACTTGTGGAGCTGTGTATGAAGGGGAGAAAAAAAAAATCATTGACTGCGTGCATGTCATTGAGCCGTTTTAGGTGGGTCTTGGACCACTCGTCCAAGTTACATACGGGGGTATTCTTTTTCCGAGAGTTACAGAGGTGCAGCAAAATTCCATTCAGAACATGTTCAGGTGAGAGACCGAAACCGCAACTGCCTTACGCGCGAACCACTAATTCACTCCATAAACAAATACGGTGCAGCTCGACCTCCGGCTAGCAGACATCATGGCTAACGATGTCCTCTTGATGGGACGTCAAATGGATTTAAAATGCCATCTCGTTAACTTGAACACCACTGCGCATGAAAAAACAAACAAACAAACAAACAAACAAACAAAAACAGCCTTTCTTCATGTGCACCGAATTTCCATGGGGACATTTTAGCATACTCAACTCAAGTCATCCTTATTTAGTGTAATGACGTTTCATCATACAGGACAGACCTAAATCGAGCGAGTCTGTTTTCAGAGGCCCTTTGGAAACAATAGGCCCTATTTTTGCAGATCCCAGGATGCCGACACTTGATGCCCGGTCTGAAGGAATTCTACTTTCTCGTTAACAATCGTCACTCCGCAATTAAAGTGACACCTTCCAAAGCCCCCAAACGTCCTCTTCTGGAGCAGTCATCTGTACAGGTAAATGTGCACTCCATTTCTAATCTAATGGCTCATTTATTTCAAAGTAATTCATTTGGCCGGTATCGATTTCTGCCCGGTGATACGTGACCGATGTGGAGAAGCGCTAATCTCTGAGGCAAGGTCGATAGGCGCCGGCAACTGTTGGCTTTTGCACGACATACATTCCTGTCAAGAGTGACTGCGGTTTCCCATTTCTATTTGCCGTCGCTTAGCGTTCATTGGCGACATGGCAGGGGCGGCCGCTGAAGCCCAAGCAGACAAATGCATGAAGACAAATGACAGCAAATTTTAATAGAGCACGATGACCTTGTTTGGCTGCATGATTAATTTTCATCATGGCTGGTTTTGTGTGCATGCGTGTCATGGAGGGAGTGGCTTGTCGCTACCCTGAGATGAAAAGTTTACATTCCAACAAGAGCCAATGTTTTACGTTTCAAGACCACAACGGTAATCTTTTGAGTATTTGTGTCTTCTTTTTGTCCATTCGACATGACTTTTGACACTGGAAAGGGAACGACACTACCTGATACGTTTTGACCTCTCTGCAGGTAACCGATGATCAGTCAGTCCAAGGGTGTGTGTGTGTGTGTGTGTGTGTGTGTGTGTGTGTGTGTGTGTGTGTGTGGTATCGTGGTGTGACATGGTGGAATCAAGTGAGAGGAGAGGCCAAACAATTCACAGTTGAAATCACTAATTTGTGTGCTTAAATGAATGACATTTGCACTTGCGACGCGCCCATTCATGTTTGATCTCTAAAGGGTACAAAGCAGCAATGAGGACGCAATTATTTTTTGCGGCTGGAAAGTCTGTATTTGCAGTTGCCCAATCAAAAGCCAATTTGATACAATCTGCCCAGCGTTCGGCACGGCAGTGTGCCTTTTGAATAGAGCGAAGCGGGTAAAAAGGCACACGTTGCGGATGGCGCCATATGGCAGCAGAAATCCAAAAGACTAATAACCACTTAGCAGCACGATCTACGTTTCTGCTTCATTTGGTTCCGATATTAGAGAGGCTAATTGTATGTCGTCGATAGTGGAAACAACCGCCGTATTTTTGCAGTCCTGCCATCCTTTCGTTCCGTTTGGTCTGCTCCTTTATTGCTCACTCGCCTTTACTTACCTACCAGTTTTACTGTTGATTGATGATTTGCATGACAAATAGTATCGCACGGTTAAAGGGAGTGCATGAACCGATGAAATAAATCTCACAAAGCGACGCCTCGGAGACAAACAGCCGAGTGTCCGAGCAACGTGACGGCCTTTAGTAGACTGGATTAACGATCCCTGTCGAACAGCGCAGGGTCCGCAGGGCAGGGACGAAGAGCACTTATTTCATGCTGCACGCTGAACGTTAATGCGCCGCAGGGTTTAAACGACTTCATTATTTGCGTGCGCCGCCGAGATATTTGCATAGCCAAGTCACGTGCGCGTGGATTCAACCGAGCGTGGAAAACATTTGTATGTTGGCCTTGAGAAACGCCACCTGATCTTCATCTTCCCCTCGCGCTTTCTCCATTGAGCTTTGGATACGGAGGCGCAGGGAGCCAAGTGGCATCAACAATCACACGGGGCACGGATATCTGCCAGGGCTGAACAATCATCATTTGGATCGGCACCCAATTGCGCACCTTCAAAAATACCCACACCTCCTGCATATGCCTGCAATTTGTCATGGCCAGTAAATTTTGGGAGAATTTGAGGAAAATGTAATGAATAAAAAAGTAAAAGAGAAAAACATGATTCTGGATGTTAAGATGGAAACAAATTGCTGGGTTCTTCCTTGATTTGATTTATGTTTTTAGTCTAATCCTGCTCTCAGACAAACAAATCAACGGTGGTGACGACGCACCCTGATTGTGGAGGGAATCAATACAGAAATTTGGCTTCTCTTAATCGATGACTTTTTATCCATGCGCAACCGTGGACGTTGAAACACCCCTGAGACCGTCCAAGTTCGAGTTCAATGAAAATATTCTGGAATAGGACCGAATGCTTCACCAGACAAACATGCAACATGAAAAATGCAATGGTTTAAATATCAACTGCGGACTAATTTCACCAAACAGAAAGGCTCATATTGGTTTCTGCTACTTATCCATCATGAGATACTGCCCAGAAAGACAAAAATTGGCGGTGGCTGGAATTTCACACATCTCAGGGCTTGTCAGGTCTTCCCCCAACACCGACATTCATACAATTTTATAAGTCCCAATCCGGTCGAGTATATTCCTCCGCTAAAATCCTGATCTGAAAATGTCTGAGAATGTTGCTGACCTTGGGGGCAGAAGTGTCCAAGTCTCAAACGGCGCATAGACAGCTACGGAGGCGCCCAGAGGTAAAGTATTCCTGCATTTTAAGAGTCTTCTATACGGCCTCAAATCCTCTTAGTGGCAAGGCTCTCACAGGTAGTCTTCTTTGCAGCCTCCCAATTATGTCCTTGCCTTCTCCTTTCTAGCGAGATTCCAAGACAAATCGCATCCACCTGACAGCTTCGCGTCGACCAAGGTCACAGTCATGTGCATACTGCACAATGTTTTGTGTGTGTGTGTGTGTGCGCGCGCGTGTGAGAAATCGGGAGCGCCTGCGCCGTCAGTCATTTTATTAGGGTCTAATGCTCGTCATTTCATGGGCGGACGGGATTGTGGAAAATACAGTTTTTGCACCATGCAAGTGGGCAGAGAGTGAGTGTGTGAAGATGTGGGGAAGTGGGTGAGAGAGCGAGTGCGTGAACGCATGCACACCGTTCCTTTTTGTGATTGCGTGTCCAACAATGCGTCGTGTGGGGGGGAAAATGCGAGGTGATAGCACGGGAGGGGGCGCTCGAAGTGGGCGGTGGTGATTTGTGACACATTGACAACACCGTTTTGTCATGAGTGAAACTTCAGGAATGTGCTTTGCAGTCGTAGACACCTTTGGAAGACAAACATTGCACCCCTTGGGAAACTTTGACATCCAAAAATGGTTCAAAGGCATGTTGGCTGCTTTGTCTATCTGCAAAAATAAATAGTCTTCTTTGGTTCCAAAATCATTCGGCACTTGGCATCTGACAAATAATAAAAAAAATAAATAAATAAAAGGGGGCGGTGGGGAATGACGGCGGGCTTGGCACAGCAGCAGCCCACGGTCAGCAAGTCCCCTTTGACATCAAATGTTCAAATCCACTTTGGCTCTCACTGAGAGGCAAATGGTCATCTATCTGTGTGCGCATTTGTGCCAGGACACACACACACACACACACACACACACACACACACACACACACACACACACGCACACACACACACACACACACCATGATTAAACCGAAGACTGCCATTTTAATTGCACTTTTAACACTCTTAATCAGAGTGAAATCTACCATAGCCGCACGGATAGTAATTTGGGCTGCTGGAAAAGGATCGTGGCAACCTGCTGCAGGACATGGAAAAAGAGACTCTGAAAAGGGGACGTGGGACAGATGTCTCATCATTTAGTAGCCATCATTAATGCCTCCATTTCTTTCAAACATCTGCCGGTGCTGTCTCTAAAACATTTAAGGACATGGGATTATAGGATTTTTTTTTTTTTTTTTGCTTCTGAAATTGGCAAAGCTTCATAAAAGTGGCTTTTAAAGTTGCATCAGGCCAGAGTCACCAAAACGGTCCCAGCGGGCACCAGATCGCCCCCAAGGAGCACAGGATTAGCTTGCAAGTCTTTTTGCAAAACAGCTTGTGAGAAATGGAAGCCATTGGCATTTCCTAGGAATGTTGCAGAAGTGATGATTTGAAAACCGAAGCACTTGCAGAGATTGATAGAGACAAAATGTTACATACTGATAATCTCTGAGAGGACGGCGTGCGTATTTGACATTTTCTTTGTTTTTCTGTGGGGGGGGGTGATTGTGTTTAACAGAGTTCCAAAATGTACCCAGTTAATGCAACTACATTTTCAGTCTAGCTTTCATCAATAATTGGTCTCGGCCATCATCTCACACCACAGGGGGGAAAAGGGGGGGGGGTATGTGTGAAGGGTTGAAAACGTACATTTCAACTCCAAACGGATGAAATCTGTGTTGCCAAGATTTTCCAGGAAGACCCCGTACGGTGCACTGGTCTTGAAATAGAATGAGATGTCAGCACTGGTCTCCCCCTGGAAGGTGGCAAAGTGAAGGTAGGACGATGGGGTTGTGAACGAAGCGGCGTTCCAGTAGTTATCTGTAAAAAAAAAGAAATAGGTTGAGAACCCTCGGGAAGCCGATACCTCTCCATCAAAGATTTTGTCACTGAAAACTCACACTTCCAACGGAGAGGTTTTCATGTAGCAAGTCAATTTCTGCAGGTTCAGTGCAATTTAATGAACAATTTATGACAAAAAAATAATGCGCAATCAGGCCACGTCTTTCCATTCTGAATGCGGAGACACGGAGGTGAGAGGAGTTTCAATCTGGCTCGGCTTCTGATAACAACTTTTCTAATGACTCATGATTGAAGCTGAAGAAGCGGCTGCTAATGAAGACAAAGTAGCTTCATGCTAAACAGCTGCTGATGAATTATCAGACTGTGGTTGATGAAGTGACGCCACCGTCGCCGCCTCCTTTCGCCTTGTCATGGTTCTGCGCGGCCCTGATTACTGTTGGGGAGGTGGGGGGGAGGGGGCGGCGCGCATAAGGGGAGAAGACATTTTCAAAGTATCAAAATTTAGAACTTGACAGGATCCTTAACACGACTCATTTTACTGCAGAAAAAAAAATCTTTTCGCACTTTTGCTCTCCTAGTTTAATATTTTGTTCTTTTCATTGTGCCCTGCGATTGTCTGGCAGCCGTTTCAGGGAGTCCCCCGCCTACTGCCCCAAGACGGCTGGGATAGGCTCCGGCACACGCCCGCGACCCTCCTGACGATCAAGCGGAATAGAAAATGGCTGGATAGGCTCCGGCACACGCCCGCGACCCTCCTGAGCGGAATAGAAAATGGATGGAAGGATGTTTTTTCATTGTGGCTCTAAAACCCCATTCACACGATTGGAATGTAAATCCACTTTTAATTGACAAGCATTGTCTCGGAATACCAAGTTCATTTCGACCTGACACAAGTTTGTAAAAGCACAACAAGCAGTTTTTGTCCATCTGCGAATGTGCGAGTGCGTGCGTGTGCGCCTCCTGAATCTCTGCGATAAGTGTTCCCGCATGACAAAGCTTAGACCCCTGCTATCCTGATTGCCTTACATCCCGTCACCGGGGGCAAGGGCAGATAGCGGCCACGGATACGCGTGTACAGTATCCACCTGCACAGGCACATACGAATGCTGTTTGGATGATTTGGACACAGCACTGCTTATTGAACTCCAGGACTACAGTATTAGAATTATTTATTGCTGGTTCGGGTTTTCTCGCTGATTGAAAAACACACAGATAAGATCATGACTACATTTGAATCTTCATTCTCACCTTATGGTACAAAAAAACACCAAACCAAACCATGGAGCCCAGCTGAAAAACACAGCACACGCACACTTTCTCATTGGACCAAAGTCCGTTTCTAGAACTAGTGAAACATTCTGCATTGACAATGTCCGAGCACAGTGATATACAAACAGGACGGCAAACAATAGTGTGATGTTGATTTGTATGCGCTGCCTGAAACGTCAAAAGCCTCCAGCAAGAAAGAGGGCGAAAAAGCTGACGGCGACATATAGAAGCAAGACGGACACGAGGACAAAGAAGTAGCGCCTGAGGCCGAGTCGCGCTTCAGGAGGAGGGGCGGCGACAACAAAAGGGGAAGACACGTGCCGGGTGATGGAGAAGGAGCCGCGAGGATCTCAGGTCGCAGGAGCGGGAAATTTGAGTGGGACAGAAAGTGAATTTTGGCGAGTTGCACAGATGAGTCGTGGAAAGTCCAAATAAAATGAGGATTGCGCTTTCCTGCATTCGACAAGACTGCATCGGTCGAAGGAGAGCGGACGCTGTGCGAACTATGTCAGTTTGTCGTCGGCCCCCGTTAAGCGAGAGAGGGGGTCCGCTTTTGGCAGATGTGATGTCGCGGGTCATTTCATCACCGTTTGTTTGCATGTATGTTGGCAGCTCCGCGACGAGGCGACATTAGGAAGAGCGCGGCCAGATTGTTGATGAGGGGCCCATCATGAGTATGACACGGGCAAGGAGCCAGGCCAGGTGCTTTGTCACGTTGCGCATCCCGAACAGAGGCGGGCCGCTTCCGGTCGGTCATACCGAGAGTTTCACAGTCTGCTATTTTATCACGGAACGCCTCGGTGGTTTTTAAATGCATCTCCGCGAGCGCTAAAAGGCTCCTCCGATCCCCACTCGTGCCGAGCAATGAGATAGCACGGCTCCACTCCATTATTTCTTTTGAGTGTGAAAAATGTGCCGTCAACAAAGTATTATCATCGTAATGATCGAGCTGCCTTGCACCAGAGATTAAATCCATGTTTGCTTTTCTTACGCTCAGGTTATTGCTTTCCTGAACACCCGCTTTACTTTGTTACGTCAAACCCCAGTTGTAAATATACCCCTGCATCTCCTCCTGTATTCCATCTATCCATTTTCTAAGTCCTACAATTTCCAAAATAAAATCATGAAATAGGGAAAAACACGAACAGAAGCCGTGAGTCAAAATTTACGACAAAAAAAAAAAAACATCAGTTAAAAGGAACTCATTCAGTTTCATGTTTACAAATGAGGAATTTGAGAGCTGCAATCATTTGGTATAACACTTGAGAGCGGCTTTTTGATACAAGCATGAGATGTAGTCGAGGCGTGGAGACCTCGAGACGATTTAAGCAGGCACATACCATGGGATCATAATGTTGATTTTCTGGAAATGTTGCCGTCGGGCAAGCTGCTACCTTCACCAAATGCCTTGACACCCCAGTTGCCACCCCTACTGTTGGCAATAAATCTATCAGTACGAAATTCCAAATTGTATCCTAGATAGTCCCGATATAGTCTCCATCGTGCGTATCAACGTTTTAATCACCAATTTAAAATTCACCCTTACTCTGACCCCGCCTCCGTTCAACAAGAAATGGTTGCATCCTACTGCGCAGCCAATTAGGGAAAACCGTCAAGTGCATTTTACTTTTACGATCTCGGGCTGACCACAGACGGTTGGGTAGGCTATAATTTGTTTGTGGTTGCTCCAAGTTTAATGCGGTATGTTCAAATGGTCTGTCAAATGTGACAACTTCTGTGAAGTGCACTTTGCAGTATTTTTCGGTCGAATAACGAGGCGCCGCGGCGGGGAGGAACCTGATCTAGCTTACATTGAGGCATGCTTGCGTGGCCATACTAAATGACCTCTGGAAAAATACTACATTGTAACATTTTCCAGGGATCAAAACTAGTTATTAGAGTGAACTCTTAATAAGGAAAAGCTAACATATCGCCAAATTAAAAGTAATACTCCGTTACTAGTATAAACGATATCAAAGGAGTCCCCCGTCTCCTCCTCTGGCCAATCGGTACCTGTTTCGGTGCGAATGTCAGCGACTATGTTTGCATGCAGTCAATAACCCTTTTAAACCGAATATTGACAGTATTCAGACAGTAACCCCAAGATACATATATCCATCCATCCATTTTCTCATCCGCTTCTCCTCACGAAGGTCGCCGGGCGCGTCGGAGCCCGTCCCAGCCATCTTGGGGCAGTAGTCGGGGTGCATCCCGAACGACTTGCCAGCCCATCGCAGGGCACACAGAGACAATCAGAGCCTCTTTTCCTTGATCGACTGTGAAACGTTTGTCAAGAATGACTGACGTGATGGGCAATGAATCAGCAGGCCTTAAACGCCGCAGGTCGGAACACAACGCAGCGCAGGAGAAGTGAGGGCACAAATGGTCAATAGGGCAGGAGCTGCCAAACCTGCGGATGTCTTCCGCTTGACCAAAAGCCAGAGAGTGCATTGATGAGATTAATTTTGGGAGAGAAACGGCAAGGAAATGTGTCACACACACACACACACACACACACACACACACACACACACACACACACACACACACACACACAAAACAAAATCAGGCTTTAAAGTACAGAGAAATACACGAACGTGAAGACCCCACATGCATCCATATGACTAAATCTGCTCATCTTCAGATGCTTTCTCACCCACTAGCACAAATGAGCTCAAACAGTTTCCAGGATCATGTGCAAATATGAGAACCATCCACGCTCAAATGCGACTTTTGTCTCCTCGTGGACCAAACTGCTCTGCGTGACCCGCTTGCACTTGTTCCCTCCTCTGGTATTTTAATTAAGAGCCGGTCAGACCAGCAGCAGTCAAGTCTAAAAGAGGCTTCACACTTTCCAAAGGTTTCTAACAACGCCTCAGTGGACAGGACACCGCTAAGTCGTTGTCATAATGGGCTATTTCTATTACCATTAGTACAAATTGTTCTTTTCTTGGGGGTAATTACTATAATAACGGCCCAAGTACTTTCTTTCCCGACATGCCTTTCATATTACAACTTTATAGTCACATGGACTACAGACACCAGAGTGGCAATAGGTTTTTTTTTGGTTCAAGGTCCACAAAAGACAGTGGTACATGAACGCATTTTCAAGCTTGCACATGGACACAGCCTTTTTCTCATTGATTGTAGTGTAATTTCTATCTCCTTTTAAGTAAAGTACACAAATGCAGTAAGCGTGCTTACAGTGTAATCACCATGAATGAGAAATACTCGATATCTTCTATCTATGCCAGCGACATATAGCGACGCTCTGACAGGCAGAACAATACCGATGGAGGACAGAAGGTAGAATAAAGCTACGTAGTCACTTGCTGCTACTCACACAACAGAATAAGTCACGGCTTCCTTTGAGTATAATACCTTTGCGTTCAATTAAACATGGCCACATCTCACACTAAACAGAAGGGTGAGGAAATGGCGATGACATTAGTTCAGTATTCATACTTTGTAGAGTATTTTTGTGGGGTGGCTCTCAGTGAGGCGGCGCGGCGGTCGACTGGTTAGCACGCCGGCCTCTTGGGTGGAGTTGCATGTTCTCCCCAAAACTGCCATTTGCTAAACGTTTTGCAACAGGAGCGCTTTTAATAAGTGCGCAAACAGGACGGGAGGTGTGCTTTTGATTTAACCTTTGCCGAACCCTTCACAAAAAGGTTACGCAGCCGCGCGTCTGCAACAAGCTGAGCATTTCCAAAATGACAGCCTCCTCCGCAGCTTCGGTCATTAATGCACATATTTGCTGTTAATTAGGCCACTGCTACTGCGCTTACTCGACCTTACGTTTTAAAATATCTTTCGTAGCTGCAATGAATCCACTCCGCGCTCTCTGTGTTTCGTCTTCCCGAACAGGCCCCCCGCCCATACTGAAGCGTCTTTTAAGATCGCCTGATCATTATAAAGCAGCGCGCTCAGGCTTTGAGCCACAGTGGCGACCTTTTAACTGACTTTGAAAGAACCTCCTCGGCGCTCAGCATGCAGCCGGGACTTCGCTTTCTCGGAACTTCCATACCGACCACATTCAGCCTTCATTTGATTTGGATTTGCAGAGCGGGCTTTTGTTTGGGTTTCACGCAATAACCTTCACCAAGCGCAATCCGTGTGACATGAGGTGACGTTTCGATTGTCACTGGGTGTTTATTCGGTACGGTGAAATTCAGTTGTGGTGAAAAAGAAAGAAAGAAATAACTCACTAAGCTTGCCACGGGTGGCGATTGTCTTTTCCCGCACGTCATTACCGGCTACGATACTCGATAGTTATAGCAATGAGAACACTCACCATCTCCCTGGCAGCGCAAGGGCCCAACGGTGAGCTTGGCCTCGGAGCCAGCTCGGTTGGTGTCGCCCACCGCAACCTGGCTGACTGGCAGGTGTTCCTTATATGCCAAAAGACCAGAATCTTCTCTCCTGGAGGACAAAGTCAAAGAGCTGAATAAAACTCCAAACTCTGAATTCGATGGCGCGCAGTTCCGAAGGTGAAGTGAACGTAAAAAAAAAAAAACAATGAATTCATCGTGATAATGAATTTAGACCGCTCACCACAATAGACAGACAACAGATGAGCAAAAAAAGCTGAGAGTCATACAGTCAGCGATGGCATAATATGCAGTCATGGAGTGTGTGTGATCATGAAACAAAATGTGTGCTTAATAGGTCCCGTGACCTTCACTATTTGAATTCCAGAATAAATGAGCTGCTTTAAAACTTCTGAGGCGGGGGAAAAAAAAAAAAAAGTTTTGTTCAGGATTCCTGTGGGTGACCTTTGAGGATTAAATCAAAGGTCAAAACCTGCCGAAACAATTTAGAGGTTCTCGGACCCGAACCGAGTTTGTTGATTTGTAATTTAGGAATGTTGTTAGAAAAGGCCAACTCGACAAATCTCGTTTCCAAGATTTCCAAATAATCCCTCGGAGCCACTGGGGCTCAGATGGTAAACGGGTGTCCTTGAGTGAGACGTCCTGAAACCGCGTTGCCCCCTTTTGCCAAGGCTGGCGCCTTGATGGGTGAATGGCAGCGGGAAACTTTACAAAGAGTGCCAACAATGTTTCCGCATGACCCACACGGTTATATTTGACCTGAGAGTCCAACTTTACCATTGGGAGTGGTCGGCATCGCAATTGCAGTCATACTTGGGGTCAGTGCAGTTTCGGTCGATGCCGCAGGCACATTTCTGGATGCCGGGACCCGAGCCCCCCCAGTAGAAGTGCTTTTCACTGCCGCGGCCCACCCACCATGTGTAGGGAGTCCCATCTGGGGAAGGAAGAACACAAAGTCATCACAGGGTGTACCTGACGGCGGTGTCGTCTCCCTACCCTGCAATCGCAGAAAACTCAAAACGAGAGCTAAGTTGCTGAAGTGCAGAAACTCACTCTGATGACCAACGGATTCATTGTTGATTCGTTCAATATTTCCGGGTGCTTGCGTTCATGTGAGTTCAGGTTGGCGATAACCACCGCATGGTGACTGTCATGTATTAGTCGAATATATTATACCCAGCCGGATGGCTCACCGAGTCACAGATCATGTCCATGAATTGGACTGACAGAGGACTCAGGCTAAGCGCAGTGTGTGTGTGTGTGTGTGTGTGTGTGTGTGTGTGTGTGTGTGTGTGTGTGTGTGTGTGTGTGTGTGTGTGTGTGTGTGTGTGTGTGTGTGAATGCTCTGCACCCTAATCCTCAGACATTCATAAAGGCCTTCAATAAGATGTGATGATCAACGTCATCGAAGCACGGTTGTTGTTTCGCCGCCGAGAAGTGCTTTTTATAACCACTCAAAACATCCGAGGAAACATGCATGTGATAAAATGAGCAAAACATCTCCCCGGAAACACAAACGCTTTCAGTGCGGCGGATCCGCAAAGTAGTGGATCAATTCATCTTTGCCAGAGCGTCTCTGTTCCTGCTCTTTGGTCATTTGTGTTTGTTTGTTGAGAGCTGACTGCGGAGCTTTGTCGATCTGCTCAGCACCGGCCGCTCTTTGTTAGCCTCATTTTATTGTCATATTGTTTTTTTGTTTTTTTTTTGGGGGGGGGGGTTGTGGGAGCCACATTAAGATCGCCCTGGGACTTCACCAGAGTCTTCCATGTGAATGTGTGTGGGAGGAAATAGAAAAGGAGATTTTGTACGTCCTTTGTCTTTGTGCTTATCTCAGCAAGTCAGCGTGTTTCGTTTGCGCGTCCGTCCTCCTCCTGTCACGGCCCACCTATTCATCACTCCGCTCAAAGAACCCCTCGACCCTGATGCCGTTTCCCCGATCTCGATCACTCCCGCATATTTAGCCCTCTCTTGACTCCAGGCTTCCTACCTTTTTCTGGCTCTTTCATATCTTTTGGTCTCAGGGGCTCTTTTTCCACCTTTATCCGTCTTGCCATTATCTCGCCGCTGGCGCTTAGGTGCGCATTTGCTCTGCCTTCATGTCTCATATCTGCCTCTTTGGTCGAGTTCCGTACGGCGTCTGCCTCGCCATGCCACGTCTCTCGCCTGGCATCTAATCTCGTCGTGTGTTTATTCGTCTGAGTTCGGATGCTCTTTCATCCAATTTGGCAAACCCCCCGCTGCTCTGACCGAGATCTGAGGCTACGTTTTGAAATACGGGCCGCCCTCCCCCGTCGATCCCGTACGGGTTGATCTGCAACGGGCTACCGTGCATTTCAAACGACTGGAGAGTTTTGTCCACTCGGCATGCTGCTGAGCAAACACATTTAAATGGCGGCCCGTTTGTTTGGAGCTTAAACCGTAATGTAGCACAAATTCCACTAGACTGTTGCATAAATTGAAATTGAAAGTAGCTGACTAAAACAAAAACATCCGAATGTCCCGCCATTGGTCGGAGAGCCTGCTTTGGTGCTAACGAGCACCAAACTTTTGAACAACGCATGCGGGTTTTTTGTTGTTGTTGTTTTTTGTGCGTCGGTAGCGAAAAGCCATGTTCAAAAGTTTTGAGTGGCATTTGGCATAGAAAAAAAAGGACACCTGGGATGTGGCCTTGTGGGTCCCGCTGCTAGAAAACCAGACAGCTATCTGCTTGCGTAACCTTGGGGAAGAGAGATGGACGGGTCCTGTCGGTTTTCCCTTCTTTAGTTGCTGAACAGGAATATTGTGATGACTCCGATGTTTTTTTCCTTTGACGAGACTGCTGTTGATGAGATTTTCCAATGATGCAATTCCCTGAGTCTTTTATCTTAAAAAAATGCATTCTGGGAGCATTAAATTGTGGCACTGGAGAGCAAAGTGGACAGTTTAGCGCCTGTTTGCCTGCAGCACAGAGTCCGAGGCGGGATGTCCGCGTTGTCAACACAGCAGACAGGCCGATGGCAGAATAATGAGTTTTTACCAACAGTTTCAACCTGAGAGCACCCATAGCGCGGACAATTTACAGGATCAGGCTCCTTCTGTCTCCCGCTGTTAGTCACAACTTTACGCTCTGATAAATTCACTCTGCATACCGGGAAGCCCATCAACACAACACGCCCGCGCGCGCACACAAAAACACGCGCACCATATCGCAGGTCATCACTGTGTGTCGTCGGCCACTGAATGAAAAAACACGTCGGACCGGAGAGAGGGGGATGGAGAGGGAGGAAAAATTCATATCAATAGCCGTGCCTCTAATTGCCATGTCTGCTTGATAAAAGACACAATACCGCACCCCCTTCAACCCACACACATATACGCGGTTAGTGTACACACAAGGGTACAAACCTCGGGCAGTCATTGCAATTGAAAAGCGTCTGCCAGACATAAACAACCATAATCATCATTACCAGGGAGTCATCGCCGTGCCTTTATTGGGGTGTCGTCCCCGCCCCCGGTCAAGGCCAATGGACAGATAGATCATGAAGAAAATGACTTCTGCCAAAGCACGCTCATTTGTCCGGATCATTCATTTAATTTCCCAACACATCCATCGGAATCGTCATACAAGAGGACATAACGGCAGCGCTTATGAATATAAAGGAGGGTGATCGAGGGAGATGAAAAAAAAAAAAAAAACGAAAAATGAAAGACATGAAAGTCAGGGCCTGAGAATACATAACGAAGGACACCTAAGATAAGGACTCGGCGAGTGAGATAAGAGTGGTGACAGACAGATGGCGATGGAGGAGGCAGAACTTCTCCACAGCTGCAGGAAACGCAACACCTCAATGCACGCGGGAGGGATTTCACAGCTCTGGTATGAAGATGGCAAACTCATTGTAGTCTTCAATTCATGATATTCCAAATGGAAAGGCCATGCTATAAGGTACGCCTGGCGCAGCCATTAAAAAAGGAAAAAAAAAAGTTTCAAGCCTATCAGACAGGGAAATAGCGAGTACATCTGTCATAAATCGTGTTCCTTGAAGTATAGCCATGCAATGTTTTTCTATCAGATGTTTGCAGCCTCACAAATCTCCCCGGGTGAGCGACGACTACTGCGACTTTGAAATATATTCATCAAGGACGTCACACTAAGCTGTGATGTTTGCTGCCTTTTTAAACGCAAACTTGAAAGGACTATATGACCGCAAAAAACATCAAGTAGCATAAAATGAAAAGCTTCACAGCTGCTGTTTTGGACACACGTTGTCGATAAATATCTTCAAATGACTTTAAAAAGCCTTTTGTGTTGGTTATAAGACGAGTTACTGAATTTCAAAAGGATACACTCGATGGACATTTTGGCCATGACTTCTTTTCCGTGGCATCAATCAGAGGTAAGAGCCTTTTTCACCTTACCAAGTGACTATCAACAACACAGCAAAGGTCTTTCCACAGGAGGGAATTTTTGCTCACGGTACGTTGTTTCGCGCTTAAGGAAGCGTGTCCCAATATCCATCATACTACTACCATAGTTAACAGCAAGGATGGGAGAGCGCCGATACCAGGTACCGATACCTGCAACGGGGGCTGATACTCGGCCCATACTGATACCGGCTGCCCTCTTGTGGCCGTTTTCAGTAAGTAAATCCATTTTTTTCAAAGATTGATGGTAATGGTCAAAAAAGTAAAACAGTGCATTAAATATACAATCAAACAAATGTGACAGTTAAATATATGCAGTAACACACTTGTCAAACTCAAGGCCCAGGGTTCCAGATCTGGCCTGCGACATCATTTCGCCATGATGCTTGCTAAAATCGATACCAAAATAAGAGCGATATTGGAAGCTTTTACCAAACCCGTCATTCCAGTAACTTCAACAACTGATCTGTTTGCAATTTCAATGCTGCTGTTCTTATGAGCCACAGTACTCAATAGCACGCACGCAAGCAAATTAAAATGACTTCCTTCAAGGGAAAAACAAAACAAGAAAATAAAACATCTCATTAAATATACAATCAAACAAATGTGACAGTTAAATATATGCAGTAACACACTTGTCAAACTCAAGGCCCAGGGTTCCAGATCTGGCCTGCGACATCATTTCGCCATGATGCTTGCTAAAATCGATACCAAAATAAGAGCGATATTGGAAGCTTTTACCAAACCCGTCATTCCAGTAACTTCAACAACTGATCTGTTTGCAATTTCAATGCTGCTGTTCTTATGAGCCACAGTACTCAATAGCACGCACGCAAGCAAATTAAAATGACTTCCTTCAAGGGAAAAACAAAACAAGAAAATAAAACATCTCTTTGTTGTGTCTGTCAAGTGTAAAAAAAAAAAAAATCACATGTAAGATTTTTTTTTTTTGCTTTGTATTTGGCATGAAGAAACGCGCATCCGGCTGACAACGGGCTGCTCCGCGTGCCATCACAGCACTTTGTTGTCAGACGCATGATGGATTTCGGGCTTTCATTCTTGAGCATGTTGTGTTTTCTTTTGTTCCGAAGATCTGTGTTGGCTGCCTCTTTATTTTTGTGGTTGCAGTTTAGAAATGGCGGCATCTGAGAACTGTTTCTTATCCATGCATCCATCCATTTTTGAGGGGATTTTGTGGGGAACTGCAGCCTTTAACTCTGGGCCAGGCGCCATTGAGTCCCCTGGCACGTTGCGACCACCATTTATTCACCTTCACTCCTCGGGACAATGTTGTTCCTTCACTCCACTTTCATTAACCTCTTTTTGGAATGTGAAATGAAACATTTTCGCTACATTTTTAAGGCAATAATAGCCTGTGGTACAATTCTGCAAACTTAAAATAATGCTACCAGATTATTATTACCACCATGAGGGTAGAATTTTTGTATTTTATTTTTGCTACAGCTCCTGTATTAGTTTTTTTTTATTTATTTTTTTTACAATATCATCTTCGAATATCTTGTAACGGGG